TTTTTCTTTATAGGGCTTGTAAAACCACTTTATTAGGAATGGAATGGCAGGTTCCCTGATTTGAAAGGGTTACGTTTGTATTAGTACCGATATGAAGAATAGAGTACCGATGTCATTAATTTTGATTTTTCTTGTTTAATTAGAATCCTTATTCTATACTTTTCCCCTAACTTCTTAAATTTGTAATTCTTTTGGGGGCTAAGCTAGTGCTTTAGGGGGCAGATAAACATGGTCTCCGCCAGCCCAAAGGACTGTTGCTTATATTTGTGTCATTCTGTCCTGAGAAACGAAGTCATCTTAAAAATAAAATGAAAGAAACTGAATTGTCTAATGTTAAGTCTGCACATTGTAACTTTTCATGTTGAATTAGTATCTTAATTTTTACTCCAGCAAAAATATTTAATGGAAGAAATGATTACGATTCATACATGTGAAATTAGAAGGTATTTATAAAATTTTTATTTCCTGTATACCAAACTCAGAATTAGAAATTTTCAGTTTGTGCTTTCAGTTTTCAGAAGCATGTTTTTTCAACGGAACTAGAACAAAATGATTAGATTAAAAATGGGCTGTAAAGAGTGGAGGCATATAACCCAATAGCATAAATATCCTTTTAACTAATTTGATAACAGTATCATATTTGGAAGGTTTGTCTTCAAAGAGTATAAAATTTAAGTGGTATATTGCTTGGTGTTAAATTTCCTTACAGATTTTTTATGGTCTATTTGGTTAATCCACATGATATTAAAAACATAAACTTTTTTTATTACTAAGTCTTGATTTTTTTATTTTTATTTTGAATCAGAGTACTGGAGAGTAAGTATAATAAAGTCTCTTCTGATTTGGGGTAAGATAATAAGCACACATTTTTCCTGATTCTATAATGAATCTAGTATATATAGGACTGTGAAGCATCCTTAAAGTTGTCACTTACCACTTTAATCCCTCGGAAGACATTAATGGTCTTCAGTCATTCTGTCACCCAGGCTGTCGTGCAGTGGTGTCATCATAGCTCACTGCAACCTCCAGTTCCCAGGCTCAAGTGATCTTCCTGCCTCAGCTTTCCAAGTAGCTGGGACTACAGGTGCACACCACCATGCGTGGCTAATCTTTCTATTTTTTGTAGAGATGGAGTCTCACTATGTTGCTCAGGTTTATCTTGAATTCCTAGCCTCAGTGATCCTCCTGCCTTGGCCTCCCAAAGTGCTAGGATTACAGGAGTGAGCCACTGTGCCCAGCCATAATTTTGTTTAAAAAAAAAATTAGGTGACACATGCAAAGTTTTAGTAATTGTAGATTATTACCAAATTTATATTTCAAGAAGAGCCATATGATATCTGTGTCTGTTGGTGCCCCTTTTTCTCTTCGCTGATTGGCATCCTCCTGTTCATTTGCTTAATAAATGTGTTCAATAATTTAATATCAAATGGGAATGGAAGTTTCTTAGTGTTTGGAATAATTAAAAATCAGAAATTTCTGAGTTTTGAAACGTGTGTGGATTAAAACGACTGACAACGATGGTTGTTTAGAGGTGACATCTTTGACTGTGTTACCTAGTAGTTTTTTTCTGATCAGTTGTATAAACAGATATGTGTGCATCACAGTTGGTACTAAAAATAGCAAGGGGGTTATGAGATACTCAGAACTGGGTTAATTAGAATCAAAATCTGCTGCTTTGGAAGCCAGGGCAGTTTGCTGAATGTGATACATTGGAGACACAGTGGAGTATAATCACTTCTTCACCTGTGCTAATAGATAAAACATTCCTCCAGGACACAGAAATGATGTGAACTTAACCATAAATAGACTGCGGACATAAAATATATAAGGCAGTTAGAATCATCATGTTAATGTGTTCTCTTAAAGGGAAGTTATAAATAGTCAAGTGTCTTGAAGAGTGTTGTGTGGGTTCTAGTTCCAGTTTAGATTCCAACAAGATTAGTGATCTAGACCTAAAATATATTTCCTGAGCTTCAGTTTTCTTATTATCAAGAAGTTCAGGCCAGGCACCGTGGCTCACGCTTGTAATCTTAGAACTCTGGGAGGCTGAGGTGGAAGGATCACTTGAGGTCAGGAGTTCGAGACCAGCCTGAGTAAGAACCAGACCCCATCTCTACTAAAAAAAAAAAAATCAGCCAGGTAACTTAAAATAGAAAAAATTCACTGGGCATGGTGGCAGTGCTTAGTCCCAGCTACTCAGGAGGCTAAGGCAGGAGGATCCCTTTAGCACAGGAATTTGAGGTTGCTGTGAGCTAGGCTGATGCCATGGCACTCTAGCCCAGACAACAGAGCGAGACTCTGTCTCAAAAAAGTTTGAGTGTGATTTAAAATATCTGTTCCAGCTGCCACATAAATTCTGTGATTCTAAGCAATATTCAAGTTGTGTTCGTTTTAAAAGTTAAAGATCCTTATTTCCATTCACTTCTGCATGGCCTCATCCAGTTCCATGGCTTTAAATACCATGAATTACACATTCCATAAAATGCTGATGACCTATATCTCTCCCACTGCTATTTCTCCCTTTAACTCCAGATACATATATCCAGGGGTGGGGAACCTGTTCATGTTGGAAGGCCACATTAATTTGGCTGTAATTAAATGAGGCCACATTCAAGAAGCTTCAATTAGGTATACTTAAAAATGTACATTATTTCATAAAAATCTACCATGTTCTTAAAAATTTCAAAAAATGAAAACTACTTGTTAATTTTAAAGTTAACCTTTTAATGACTTTGTTGTGTCTGCTTTTTGTTGGAAAGCATTTGAGTATTTGCAGTGTGGAGGTCTGCAGTTTTAGTTGATCCTCTAAATTTGTGGTCCCCAACCCCTGGACCACAGACCAGACCGGTAGTGGTCTGTGGCCTGTTAGGAACCAGGGCGAACAGCAAAAGGTGAGTGGTTGATGGGTGAGTGGTGGGTGAGTTAGCTTCATCTGTATTTACAGCCACTCTCCATTGCTCCCATCACTGCCTGAGCTCTGCCTCCTGTCATATCAGCAGTGGCTTTAGAGTCTGCGTTATGGTGAGTGGGTACGATTATTTCATTATATATTACAATGTAATAACAATAGAAATAAAGTGCATAGTAAATACATTTGCATTTGAATCATCCCCAAACACCCCATGCAGCCCCCCATCTGTGGAAAAATTGTCTTCCATGAAACAAGTCCCTAGTGCCAAAAAGGTTGGGGACCACTACTCTAGATGGGTATCAGTCATTTTTGACCTTAAGGGCATCTTGATTTGGGTTAGGTGGAAGAATATAGATTTGTAGCTGTAAGTGGTTGAAAAGCAAGAAAGCATTTTATGGGCATGTTGCCAAAGTCATGGGTATTCTGCATTTTTCCACATTTCAATTGGCTCTTTCTTAGTATCAAACAATGGCTTTAAGATGTCATCTACTGAGAGCTCAATCAATTCCATCTGTAGTTCTTTAGGTGCCTTGGTGATACCAACTAGGTGAGGCCGAAATGCTAGTTTGAGTGTGATGTCAGGATTCTCAAAGTCAGTGAACCTTTCACTGTATTCTCCAATTAATAGTTCTATAACAGCTGTGTATTCTTCAAACAATTCACATATATCATCTTGCTCATCAGTGGCTTTTGCTAATGGGAAAATGTTCATCTGAAATTTCTTTTTGAAGAAGTGCTTTGAAAAAAGCTTTTTGTGAAATGCTTGGATTTTTTGCCACATACTATATATAGATTGTTTTACCTTGCAAAGAAATATTCAAGTTGTTTTGATTTGACATGATATCACACAGAAATATTACATTTCTATAGAAATATTCTTTCAATAATTCACATTGCTGATTCTGTTCTTCATAAAATTTAACTATCTGTTCTCGCAGAGATAAAATTTTGGCTAACACCTGTCCCTGCGATAGCCAACCCACTTTAGAATGATATGGCAAATCCACACTGAATATTTCATCTTTCAACTTTAGCATGTTACTTAATTAATGATGCCGTGTTGTATTTGCTCAAATATAGTTAATAATACTTAACAACTTGTTGCAAAGTGTCACTTAAAATAGCTTTAGCAGATTTTGCTGATGCAAGTACAATGAAAAGAAATGAAAGCATCTGGATCTATTAATTTTTTTTTATCTGTGCAATAAACCCTTCATGTTTTCCTGTCATGGCAGGTGCACCACCTGTAGATACACTCACTAAATTTACCAAATTCAGTCCAACTTTACGACATTTATCTTGAAAGTTGTTGATATCTATTCCCTATGTTCGGTTTGCAAGAGTGCCCAAAGACAGTAGCTCTTTGTAGCAAAGAAAATCTTCTGTTATCACCCAAATGAAGTATAAAACCTGTGCCCAAGTCAGGAGTATCAGTTGATTCATCCAAAGCAATTCAATAATATATATTTTCCTTTTGAAATATTACATGAAGTTCTGTTAAGTTGAAGGCTGATTCATGCTGCTGATCAGTTATGAAAGAGGCCACTTTTTTGTACTTTGAAATGTTGGTATAAGCATCCTACAACTTTGACAATGCATTCTTTCACAATTTCTACATCATTGAATGGCTTCCCTTTGTTCCTGAGTGTATCAGCTACTTTATAAGTTGCTTTGGTGGCATTATTTCTAGGTCTTACTGCTGCTTGAAAGAATTGTCTTTGCTTTTCATCTTTTAATTTCTGCCATACAACCTTTCGCATCTCTCCCTCTAATTTAAAATATTTGTGGTTCTTATAAGTGTTAATAATGCTGGTGAGCATTGATTTTCTTTAATGCCGATATTGCAGTATCACAAAGCAAGCAAATCATATTATCTTTAGCAGAAACAAGATAACAGTGCAATTCCAATCCTCATTAAAAAATCTGTTTTCTTCCTTCAGCATTCTCCTGGTCTTTGACATGATGGGCTGTTAAGCAGACAGAATTAAAAAATACTGTCGAGCCGTGCAACTATTCACAAATTCCACTTCAAACAGAAACACAGTGCACCATTGTCAAAAGCTGATAACAGACTGGCATACATGACTCCCATAAACTCTCACCGATCAGCCAGTCAGGTGGAGGAAGTTAGAACTGAATCATGAAAAAGAAAAAAAAAAAAAAAAAAAAAACCATCAATTTAACATTTATGGTTTACTAATGTTTTAATTGTGCTGGTCAATCTGGAAGGATTATTTTGTTTAAACTTATTTTATTGTTTTGTATTTTAGATA